ACCGATTTCACCCTAGAGGGATGGGAGGCCCTAGGGTGAAATGGGTTTATGCCCATGTTATCAAAAAGTGTTTGATGAGTGCCCATAGTGCACTCATGGCTAAGGAAATGGGATGGTGTCCATCTGGACCACCTCCTGGATTTGCTCTGGGGCTTTAAGACTGGGAGCATAAGTCCCTCCAGATTGAGTCTGACTTCTTTTCAAGAGACTGACAGATTCCATATCCTCTGTGGACTGAACATAAAGGGGCAGATAACATAATACTGAGCAACTGTGTCTTGTCTGATACTGGCAGACTCCAGCAAAAGCCACACAATGTGAATGGAAGTTGAAAATACTTCTTAGTGTTTATTTTCAATTGTAACACAGTGTGAATCGAAAATAAACACTAAGAAGTATTTTCCTTCACAAATACAGTACCAGTAGAAATATAGCACCAGTTCTAATGGTAGAAATTGAAAATCAATTAGAAGTATCTGTGGAATAAACTTTAAAAATTGCTGTTCTGCAAGCATGGCTATTTCTGTAAAAGACATTTTCAAGACAGACACAAAGTTTGAATCAAGAGTCCCAGGTTGCTATAAATGTAACAATATATACAAATGGTTGTCAGAGTCCAACACTTCAATTAAGTCCTGTTATCTTTGTAGCACCACACGTTAAAAGTAGATCTTTTGTTCAGCACAGTTGAGGCATGAGTTATGCTGTCACGGTAACTTGTGAAATATCATGCCTTGTGTTGATTGCACTGAGCCCCATGGCATCACAGCACAGATTTCACAATGAAATGCATGAGTTCTGCACATTGTAATAGAAAGTGTGAATAAAATTGATTCAGCACTTGAAGTTTATCTTCAAAACACCCATGCCAGTTCAGAAAGAAATAAGCAAAGGACTGTATTTAAATTCTTTGAGCAAGGGGGTATATTTCTTCTTCGTAACTGTGCAACACCTATTTTTACGGAGACTAATGCAATGATGGAGTGGCCAAGTTGCAGCTCTTGGGACACAGGTGACTTGAACAGAGCTTGGGCGCAGCTCCCATGCCACAGCTATGTCATTAATCAGACTACAGAGTAATATGTCAAAGGAAGAGTACCCAGAGGAACTGCTCAGGCTGAAATTATGGAGTCCGCATGGGACCCATTAACATCCAACATGGCCCTGTCCTCAAACTGAGCAAAGGGAGGCACCCTGAAAAGTTATCCCCATCTCCTGTTTGGGAATGAATCTGGGACATCCCTCTCTTTGCTGAGAAAAATGAGGTGTTTTGGCAATATCAAGATTTTGGTATGTTGCTTGCAGAATCAAGACACTTTGTGTAATCACTGTAAAAATAATAAAACTTTTAAAAAGACTACCATCAGACAACCTCTCCTACTTACATATGATAAAGACCCTTTCAAGCAAGACCTGGTAATTAAGTCTTCCTCATTAAATACATGAGATTTTGGAGCTCCAGGTGAACCACTTAGATTAGTCCAGTAATGTAGTCTTTCAAGCATTTTAATTTTTTTTCATTATACCACAACAAACCATGAAGCAAATTAATTATTTTATTTTAATTTTAGACATTTTTTCTGACTTGGTACAAGTGCCAAGAGACTCTTAGCTAGCCTCAGTGATGAAATTCTTGCCCTTTAGTGTTTTCTTTTGATTGCTTTTTTGAAGATTGGTTTGAAGCATAAAGTAAGTCTCCATGGTAAAACATAAATAATTTATCAGCATGGAATGAATAAGTATTTTCTCTGCAAGTATAAACAGGAAATGTTTTCTGTTTTGCATTACTGATAAAAGGATTTATTTTTAATGAGAGCACATACCATTGATAATTAATATAGAGCTTATTACATAAAGTGTAAGAGGCTAGATTTCTCCCTTACTCCTTTTAAAAAGACATTCTACGCATCACTTGCTCCCAGTGTCTTTTCAGTCTTTGGCACCAGGCAACACAAAACCTTCCTTGTGTAATGAATGATATCAGTAAGAATACTCCCTGCGCTGCTTACACATTGACTTGTCCCTAGTGCATACTGACTGCACTGATTCAGATTAAATGTGGGAGGGCCAAGTGAACATGGGTCACTTCAGGTAACTTATTTATTTTCTTCCCTAATATAGGCTTCATAAACCACCAGGCAGTTCAGCTAAGTAAGTATGCTTCACCTATATTATATCTTATCTTTCCTTAATGAAATAAAAAGGCAAGTTCCTAACTGTTCCCAACTGCACAGTGAAGGTCTCTTAGCAATAAGCAGCAGCAATGCTACCAGGCCAAAAGCTGTCTCTTGAATGAAACACGTCATGATAGGTTTACCAGGTGAGCAGTGTTTGCCCAGCACACCCACTCTCCTAACAAATACCAATCTTGCTGACTTGCCTATGGGCTAATTTAGTTTTCTCGGCTGTATTATTATAAAGGCCTCTTTACCTAATGTGAATTAAACTCTTTGGGAGCATCTATCAAGCATAGCTAAGGGATCTAGAGGATGTATAAAGCAGATTTATGAAAAAGAAGCCTCAGAAAAGCCCAGCTTGATAAGACATCTCTTTATGACATGATGCACAGCCTCAGGAATGGAATGAATTTTGTTCCTGTATAAAGTTGAAACTTTGCTTTATACAGCAGCTGAGGAAAGGCGTTTGCTCTCAGTAAGCTGCTGTATGCAGTTGTGGTGAAGTTTAAAAGAATCCAAACAGGGTGCTAGCCTCTCTTACTGGAACAAGCTGCTTTTCCTCAGAAAATGTCAAGATTCTCCGAATTTTAAAACATTTTTAATTATTGTATCATGAAAAACTGAAAGCTAAAAAGAACAGCCACAGGAACATGTGCACTCCATGAAATCCCAGTTCTCAGTATCCCACAAAACTCTTCAGTTTAGCTTTATCCTTCTTCCTCCCAAAAAAAAAGTAATATTAGAGGCAAATTTTGATTTCACAAGCACAGATTCAGTTACTGTTAAGTGGAGCTGTGCAAGAATCAGCAGTCCACAGTTTCCTTCCATTAAGCCCCATAAAAGTAAACATTAATTGGTATGACTCAAAAGCTGCAAGGGAACCATCATTGGGAATTCTTTGCAGGGTATAAGCAAGAGAGGATTAAAGAACTAAGATACTGCCTTTCTGATTCTCACATCTTACCCAGTCCTTGCAAAGTGTTATATTTAATGCTGAAACTCTGTGAAATGGGAAAATAGGTGTTCCTGCTCCAGCAGGGGGATTGGACTAGATGATCTTTTGAGGTCCCTTCCAACCCCTAACATTCTGTGATTCTGTGATAAGGATATTTTCTTTCTTCCTGCCTTTCTTCCTGCCAACTCAAACCAACCCAAGACCATTGTGCCTGTCATTTCCCACCTCTCATCATTGTCATGGCAGTGCTTGCCAGGAACTTAACATAAGTAAAAACTTCTTTACTGTGAGGGTGACAGAGCACTGGAACAGACTGCCCAGACAGGTTGTGGAGTCTCCTTTTCTGGAGACATTAAAGACCCACCGGGATGTGTTCCTGTGTGATCTTCTCAAGGTGATCCTGCTCTGGCAGGGGGGTTGGACTGGATGATCTTCAGAGGTCTCTTCCAACCCCAATCATTCTGTGATTCTGTGAAGGGTTTGGCAATAACTTTGTGAAACAGAAAAAGCGTATGCTGGCATGGATAAGAAGCTTTTCAGGAGAGTAAAAGCTGATAATGTTAAGTAAGAGGTCAATTTGCATTAATTAGCTGCCATTCTCAGTCATCAGCACAGTGGTGCACAGTATAACTGTATACAACTGGGTACACGAGCCATTTTTATTTGAATATTTGTCCATCCAAACCCAAAATCTTTCCACAGAATATGTAATGCTATGAGTAGCCATTTTTAGACAGTTTTCATTGATCAATAGTCAATTTAAGAAACATCAATCATGTGTAGAGGTGGGCTTATGAAGCCTATTTTTGCACAACAGGAGGATCATTGGAGGCCAAGACCTATTTCCAGCAAAGCTTAGCAGGTTCAGAATTACTAGCTAAGGGGGCAGCTACTATTGGTGCTTAGAAAATACTTTAACTTCATTTGCTGTTCCCTCCATACGGCTTGACTTTCTCTGAGGTCAGGACGCTCCAGTTCTCAGTAACTGAAGGAGAAATCCCTGGTTAAGTACAGATAACCCAGACCACACTCAGATGAGTTTTACCACTGGAAGGTTGTATTTAAAAGCTTTGTGCCTTTTCTACATCTCACCTTTACAAAACCCAGAGTAATTGTTATGTAGTTAATGCTGACAGCATCATTGTGAGGTAAATAAGTAAACTGAGGCAGAAAGACTGGAGAGAAAAAGCAGTGACATAACCAGGGTTGGAAATTAAGCTCTTCCAAGCATGCATTGCCGTTTCATTTTTATAAGACATGTAGAAGCACTCAGTTATGCCTCTGATGGTGATCCTATAAGTACAGAGTCAGCTTCAGTTCATCAAGCTTTATTGTTTTCTGTTGCTATGTGTAAAAATCATGCACAGAAAATGCAGTATTAATCTTCTCTGCTGGTGTATGAATCAATCCAGAGCTCTTGCAACTGGCCATGGGTAGGCCTTCTGCAGAGGCAGCTTTATCTGGTATAGGATCCAGCCCTTAGCTACTTGCCACCACCTCTCTGCCTGAGACAAGTAGCCCTGCAGATCTGGTGGCGCAGGTAATCACACTGAGTACTTCCAAGACAGCTGGGTTAACTTAACATGATTAAATGGGTGATCTATCAAACCCTGCTGAGTTTGAACCAAAAGACTGAAGATGAGTTCTGTCTGCAGATCCATGAGGTCAGTCTCCCAAGGTAGAAAAGACATTAGCAGCAGCTCACAGAAAGAACCACTTCCACCAGCAGGGCTGTCTTTACAGCGAGCATACATCTACAGCTTAAAATGCAGATCTGTCATTCTGATCAATGGTGTTCCATTAGAACATGTTAAATATTTCCCCTATAGGTAATCCCTATAGGCATGAAGCTGTCAGTATTCCCTCTGACTCCCAGAAGAAGGCTTTGCACTGGCCGGGACAGCACGCATACTTCCAAGTACGTAGTTCATACAGAAAAAAAAAAAGTCCTTTTTTTTAATTAAACTTCTCTGCATCTCTTTCATGGGAGACATTTTTACACAGAGAGTTCCTGTACTGTTCCAAACACTTGCAGGCCACGAATCAGGCATCATGCATACAAAGAGTGAAAAGCTTTAGAGTTTTCAGCCGCTCTGGCAATATATAAACAAGACCAGAAGCAGGCTGTTCTGTGACTGAAGTCCTTTAAGTATCAACTAGCCCTTGTAGGACCTAGTCAAGTAGCTCTGGAGAACAAGAGAACAAGAAAAAGCAGTAACAGCTACTGACCATACATTTTGGGGGAGGCGGAGGAGGGTTGTTCATTCAGAAGCTCTGCAGCCCTTCAAAGAAATGGGTTTGGGCAACAGTAGATCTTTGCTCTTCCTTACCTCTCCACAAGTCTTGTCAACATACTGACAGGCTAATGTCTCTTAATTCCATGTCTTCAAGAAAACAGAAGTCCTCTTTGTGGACGGTCTTTGACACTAACCTTGCCTTCCCCAGTGTAATGATGGAGGCTGAGCTGGTCCATCAAACAGAAGACTGAATTTATTAATGAATGATCACATTTCTACTATTCTTCAGCTTGGCTAAACACTAGTTCTCTTCCTGAAGGGATGTAGCCTGAAGTTTGATGACAGATAAGTCATGCATAGTGTAGGAAAAAATAGCAATGAACAAAGAAAGATACAGCCTTTATGGACACACAGCCTTATGGATGTGGCAAGGAAAACAATAAGCAGCAGTCCATTTTGAGGCAGTCTGTAATTGTGACTGCAAAAAAAAAGCTTATATAGCATGTAACATCCTGCCGACCATGTGTGGCTACCACGGAGAACCTGATTCCAAGTTATTTGAATTTAGTTCAGATGAATTATGTACCTGTTGAATCTTCCACTTGAGTGGTAACAGTGCACTGAAGACATTCTTCCATCACATTTTCACTTGTATTAGCATTTACTAAACAGGTAATTGGGGGAGGGGTGATGTGACACATATTATTTCAAACCTTTAAAATAGACTTTTTCATTCAGCACACATATTTGGTTTATACCTTACCTATTTCTTCTTATCCTTCAGCTTCCCAAGTTTGCTGAAGAAAAGGCTCAAATATACTATCCACGTCCACCAAAGACAGTGGCCCCCAATACCACTTTTAAAGAGCTAGAACATAACTTCTCTGCAAGAACAACCAATATGCTACGAAGCACTGAAAGGGCTCTGGGGATCACAACATACAGTCAAGAGTTCACAGGTAAGCATTTTTTGCTAAATTAATTTACTTGGGATAGCAATGAAAGACCACAAAGTGTGAGCCCCTGAATTCCTCAAAGAAATTAATTTTTTGTCATTTAGTACCAAAGGCCACACAAGCTGTAAATTATCTCAGGTTTTTCAGGGGGACTGTGCATTAATTCTGATTTTCCTAACCAATAAAAATGTGTGACACTAAAATATGTCTCCATTAAGGGAGAGGTCCTATGAATCCCCTTATCCTGGATGACTATTACATGAAAGCAGTTGGCAAATTAACTGGAGTACTAGGTGAAGACATGGAACTCGTAAGTACTGCATTTACCGAGAAACTCGTGCTCCCACCACAAATAATACTGGCAAGAGTATTACCAGGTTCAGCTGGCAGAATTAAGCCTTCCCTTTAATAAAACGTAGGTGCAGGGTAAGAGTCACTTTAAAATAGAGTTCAGTATATTAAATCAGTCCTGACATAGCTGGCTGACAGAACTTCTGTAATGGATTAGTTACTTGTTCAGGGGGAAAGTTACTGTGATTATCTGTTTATGTTTTATCTTATCATTTAAAGTTGCCACCAACACATGACAGCAATTCAAACGACCTTTTGCCTTGAGAAGTATGACTATCAGTCTCCATAAAATGAGTTGGCTGCTCTCATGTGAATCGTGCAACACTGCAGAGGCTGAAACATATTGGCTAGATGTTCACCCAGAGTTAATCAGGACAATCTCACCGAACTCATCTACTCACTGTCTTTATTGCACATTGTGTATTTGATAAGTGACCTACTACTATTGCAGATTATTGCCTCCTTACTTACTATACCAGTTTAATTTTGGCAGAGTTTCTATGATTCATCTGCCTCCATTTAAAAGAGTGATTGGTCTTTCTTGCTTAAGGGTGCATCAGTAACATTATCAGATTCTATTTTAATGCAAAGATTTATGCTAAAGAATGTATAAAACTATACCGGAAAACTCTATGTTTATTGTGTTTAACAATATTTATATTCTGTGTTGCCTGTATAAAAGTGAAAAGATACTATTTGTATTAAAACCTCCTCATAAAAATGAAGCATAATATGGTATATGAGCATAGCAAGTCAAACTGAGCTGCTTTTTCCTAATGCATCATTACCTATAATGGCTTAAGCCATTCAGTGACGCCTGCACATTGTCATGCAGAATACATACACACGTCCAATTTATTTTAGCTGACTAAGTAATTCTGCAGGTAAAACAGAAGGACTGGATTCCTGCTCATCCTTCCACAGCACTGCTGGCTTTACAGCACTACCAGGTTCAAACTGCACAGACATACAAGAAGCTGGGCAACTAAGTAAGGTGCTGTCATTGTCTTACAGTCCAAAAACGGCCCTGGATAAAAGTGCCCAAATTGTCTTGCTTTCTTTCTACTGGATAAAAAAAAAATCCAACCCAAGAAATCCCTTTTGAAATGGCATTTACAAGTCTCTGATAATTGAATCCCTGTATCTAAAACAGGAAAGCTGTCTAGCTTTTTCTCCAATGTGACAAAGAAACAAATGTTTCGCTTTATGATGATGAACACTTTAAAGAACAGTTTCAACAGCTGGTCTCTGGAAATGAAAATCCAAACTAGCAGCTTACATGAATTCAAAACTGAGCAGTTTTATTGCCCTCTGGCTTCCAAAGTGTGATTGGCAGAGGCCTACTCTGGGCCATGCTGATTTGTCTGAACATTATTCCACTTAAAACATACATATGTTAAACATCAAACATTCAGAGTGTTCAGCACAGTAACTGCTGAAGTCCATTCTTCAGCTATAGGACTCAAATGTACTCTGTGTTTGAACAGTTCCTATACAATGCAGCTTTGGCTCGGCACCAGTATCTAAAGCCTCAACAGTACAAATGATTAACACAGTGTAATTGTATTCAAGCAGTGGGTCAAACTGTGGTTAAGAACTAAAAAGCCACATGTCAGTGAGCATCTTCAGACCCACTTGCACCACTCCCTAAAAGATTTTAAAAACACACTAATGCAAGTCACTGTTTATACTATCAGATTGCTTAGCAGACCACAAATGGAAGACAGATGCTTACACAAGAAAGAACAGAGCACAAGACATCTATACCCATCTATATCTCATGCATTGGGGTGGAGCGGAGTATTTTCTTGTCCAAAGCATACAGATTGACTCTAAGCTCCCTAGGTGGCAAGGCAGTAACAAAAGTCTGGGCTGCTTGCCTTTGTCTGGGAGACCGCTAACTGAGCCATTTCACTTCTCTCAGACAATGGTCCGCTAAAATAAGCAGTCCCTGCTAAAATAAGAGATGTCAATGCCAGTGTAAACCCTGTTCCTTTCTCCATATAGAAAGAAACATTTCTGCCTAGTCTCTCACAATCGAGACCTCTTGAAGGGCACACTGCACGTTTACTTCAAGGTCAATATCCCTGTGAATCAATTCTACAAGGACAGTGCTCCTCCAGTACTCAGATGCCTCTGACTCTATGCAGAGTTCCTACTGTCACAGCCAGCTACTCAGACCCAATGCTGAGTAAAACAAGAACAATGGCTAGTCTAGGTTGGCAGTGTAAAGTGACAGAAAGCACAGACCAGAAATGGGATGTGAGGCAACAGCAGGCCACTGTATCTCCACCCTGCTACCAGAAAGTTCATTATTTGGATACAAAGCTGCCAAGAAACAAATTTCAGAAAATCACTGACACATTGCAAGCAGAAGCACTGTACAGGAGGCAGCTTTCAGGAAGGCCTGAAGTTGAATCTTTTCCAAAACCTGCATGCTCCCTTTCCTATGAAGACTTTCAACTCAGACATTTGGATCAACAAACAGTATGGGAATACCCAGTTAGTCTAAGTAAGCTGGGCTTACCACTGGATGAAAAGAGTGAGGAAAATAGAATTTTGTTGCACAAGCTTTGGCATCAAGAAGCACGCCAGTCTGCATGAAGACCAGAGGACAGGCCAAGAGTGCCAGCACTGCCTGAATTGATCCCTTGCTGTGAGGTTCCTCAGCGCCGGACATCACTGCTGGAGCTGGAGCATTCCTTCTCAAAGACAGCAGCACAAAAACGTTTTCATGATTCCATAAGAGGAGAGACAAAAGACCTCAGAGATAACATTACTGAGGGAAAGAGACACAAATTCTATGGTTTCAGTGCTTTTTATTTCTTTAACTGACACATCCCTTGGTCCTTTTAAAAATAGAGTAACAAATAAAAAGTACCTCTATACAAACTATCTGTCCTTTCTAGAACCACAGTAAGTTTAAACAGTAAAGAGAAGACCATCTAGGGGAGGAGCCCAGGACATGTGCAGCCTATTTGAGAAGACCAAGAGAACTTGTCTTGGTCCAGAGGCTGTGAAAAGATGACTTCTTGAGAAACACATTAGTAGGATAAACACTGTTTAGGGAAAAAACTGGCTCGTTAAAGGCCAAATAGATTCACAAATGAGCGTCACAGTCTGATTGTAAATAAACTTATCCTGGAAATCACAAGATTATTTTTAATTGTCACAGCAGAGAGGTGCAGGATTAGCTCTTCAACAGACGACGAAAGGATCATAAAACAGACTGCTTTAGAATGGACCTGACCAGTTTATGTAAGGAGTTACAATGCAGTTGCCAGCTGAGGACTATAGTTAGTGATCCAATAAGGCCTTTAGCAGGCCCTCACAGGCACCAAGCTGCCAGCTCAAAAGGACCCCCTGCTACCCTTCAGGGAGTCAAATTACAATAATGTCAGTAGTACTGGGCACACGCAGGGACAAACACGATGCCTGTCTCCACGAGCTGTGGAGACTCTGTGCACAGCACATTGGCAAAGCCTCTCCAAGTCTCCATTCCTATGTCAGCCCTATTGAGGGTTGTATTTCAGACTCTTCTCCCTCCTTTTTTACTCATTGTCTACGACAGGAATATTTAAGAGAATAGGAAAGGCCATAGAGAGTGTATTTAAACTGTAGTAAAGACCGGTAGAGGGAGAATGGGACTTGGCATCCTCTGCAGGGCTTTGAAGAAGCTTCATAATTAAGCAGGTAAGCTACAGAAAACATGAAATCTGTTATTAGGAGTTAGCCCTAGATGGCTGCAAGTGGTCGGTGTAGTAGCTAAGGATTAATAGTGGCCATTAACTTGGTGGTTAAAAAAGTAGTTAAAAGCATAAGATAAAGAGAGAACTGCTCTGCTGCTGTGTTGTGCTTACTAAGCTGTTTAGGATTCCTGAAAAGTGTGAATAAAACCCAACCAAACAAAAAAGTCCCCAAATACAATATATTTAAACATCTTAAATCATTTTTGTAAAGCCTTTAGAAAATAAAAAAGCAACAAAGAAAACTTTAGTGGAAATCTACCTCATGGATTAGCAGCTGGCTTGGCAAAAAGAATGCAAAGAATAAACAATTGCTAATTTCTGTATGCTGACATTAATATTGCTGCTACCCCGGATTTGGGAACATAGCAAACATTAGTTCAATTAGTATCTTAAGGAGCTGCAGCCAAGTGGAGATTAGAAAAGCAGAAACAGCACATGGGCATTCATTGTGGGGTTTTCTAACTGCTTAATTAAATTCAGTTGTTTCCCAGAGAGAACCTGAAGAGGGAGCAAAATGCCATTGCGTTTTTCATTGAGAGTTATTTCCTTGTACTCTTCTAATCTGTTCCAATAAGAGGTCAGATATATTCCCCTCTCCCTTCAAGCAAATGACCAGAGTTCAGGAGACTGCCAGGACCAGGTACAAACAGAACCATGCAACCAGCTAATCATTCTCCACTGGACTTTCCTTTACACTAGCAAAGAATCATGGCAGAAATTTAAATCCCTGATTACTTTATTCATGTGTGAGATCTTGAGGAAGCTGGTCAGGACACAGGGCCCCAGCAGTGCACGATTTTCCATGCAAGTGTTCAAAAGACAAAGGGCTCAGTGGCTACCAAAAGGATATAAGGAAAATGATGTGACAGGAGGCAGAGAGCTTACTTTCCACTAGGAGAGGATACTCATTTTCTATCCAACCTTTATACACCTGAGAAACAATCAGAATATTAGTCTTAAAACAGAAATTATTAATGTATTTATTAGGACACAATAAGAGTACAGGAGAGTATCTAGAAGATTTAGTACAAAAGTAACTGAGCAGCATAATAACATGAAATTTAAAAGTGAAGTATGAAGAAACATACTACAAAGAACTGTTTAAGACAAGTCAGTCACAAATGGGTTTTAAAGTAGTTGTTACCTCCTGGAGGAACAATTTCAAACTAAGTGCAGACTCCTGCCTTTTGCTCTGCCTCTAGCACCATTCAGGAGAGATTAATATTAGCTGCAGAGAAGACAGATTATATTATTTCATAATCTTTGTGTATCTTGCATTTAGTTTTGTTCAGCACATTTCATAAGTAACAAAAAACCAAAAAAGTCTGGAAAAGAGCAACAATTATTAAAAATGGGATTAGTTATGCCCCAAGAAAGAGACATGAAAACTGAACTTGTTCTTTCTGGGGTAAAAAAACAACCAAACAAACAACAAAACCAACCAAAGAAACAAACAAAAATCCCCATAAAATAAACAAACAAAACCCCAAAAACTATAAGCTACAACTTAGCAGTGAGTACATAACACATTTAGAACAGAGAAGTTCATCAGTCATTTGTATCAGGTAACTTCAAGTCCCTAAATGAAAAAGCTCTGGGACTTTCTGTTTGGTCAAATTCATCACATAAAAAAGGAAACTTAGAAAGTCTATTCTAATTTACTTGTTTACTTTTCTGCTTGGAATACGATGACAGCAAAGAGTTTAATATCATTTTTAAAAGAAGGCTTAAAGAGATATCCTTGGAGCATAAGAAAAACATCTGCAATGCTAGGAGTTTGGATTAAGAGTTCTTAGTGCTCTGAGAGTTCATGCTGCAGTATAATAAGCTCATCATGGGCAGTTTTTAGTGTCCACAAAGCATCCAGAATTGATCATTCTCGGAAACAGCACTAAACCACTAAACTGCTCTGATACAACACTTGACACATTCTTAAAGACATTTGTAAAAACAAGCAGACAACAAAGCTGGGATATTAAAACCTGATTCTAAAACTACCAGCCAGGTGATTACTTGGTTAAAAAAGTCTTGAAAACTTGGCACAACAGACAGCAAAACTAGCACAAGACTCCTGCAGGGAGGAATCTCACCTCCCCACTGACAGAAACATCCCATGGGTGCTACCATCTGCAGCAGTGATTTCCTCTCAATGAAGCAGACAGCTGTAGATCTATGAATCATGAACATGTTGTCTCATAACTTGGTCAGGCTTCACATTCAACAGCTCCTCCTGCTGCTACGCGCAGAGCCCTCATACCTCTGCAGAGAACTGGGTATACACTTAACAGCATTAAGCCTGCCATAGCATGCTAGTTTTATTTCTATGGACAACAGAGCTAAATTTGTAGCTTTATGGCCTTTTTTCTACTTATGTTATAAATGGTTTCTCCTTTGAAAATCCTAAGGTAAGCAATGCTTTTCTTTTTTAAGACTCTCATCTGAATCGTGGGGCCATGCTAGTGCTCTTAGTTCATGAAAGGTCCTGCTGTCTGGCCTATAGCTTAAATACAAGACCTGTGTAGGCTTTAGTAGATTACATTAGATTAGCATATCATCATTACATAAGGAGACCCAACCACACAAATCTCCTTACAAAAGGAGTCTTAATTTGGAGCTTTTCTCAGGGCTAAGTTGATGCGTTGGAGACTAATTTGACAATATCATCATTTAAGCTACTGCAGAAGTACTTCTTACTTTATAGCTTGGATTATTCAGAAGATAATGTCCCAGCTGATCATGTAAATGAGAGGACAGTAATCTTTGGCTCCCACAGATACACAAAGCAAATGTATTACCAATGTAGGCAATTGGCATCCGCTCCAAATGAGATAGGGCTGAAATTCTTTCAACTCTTTGATTCATTAGAAAGAAAAGTATTTTTTTTTTAATTGAAAATGTGGTAGCTTTAACCAATTACTTGCCACCTAAAAATAGAAACTGAGACCAGAAGAAATTACTGTTCTTGCAGCATGTTTGTTTGTCAGGTGGAATCAGACTCTCAGACAGTGCCCAAGGACGTTTATTATACCTCTATTATTTTAATTTCCAGTAAACTATGGCAGACTCCACAATTGACTAGCTTTCAGACTAGCTTTAAAGTAAAAACATAATGGACTTAATAAAAGGATACCTTTTTATTTATCTTTCTGTTGTTGAGTCCTTAAAATTTAAAAGTTCTTTTCCAAAAGCAACAAAACTGTTTTTAAGAAAAGCTGAACTTCTGACAAATTGCTAGGTCCTGAGTCTTTCAAACGTGAATGTCCTTGTGAGTTAATTTAATTAACTTTGACCTTGAGTCCAAAAATGTCCTTTTTTTAAAGTACTATCTTGAATAACCTGTCTTTTTAGCCTACTTTCCCTATTGGTTTATAAGGCATCAGAATGAGTTTTCTGATAGAGAAGTTGATGCAGCCCTATCCTAGGACAACTCTTGCATTTGGAAGTCCTTTCTTGCTATCCCATGCTTCATTGCAAATTACCTGACTTTATGTATTTATGTTTTGTACTCACTACTCCTCTATACTCATCCAAACAAGATGCCCTTGTTGTGTTACTTGCCTCGAACCATGAACTGATTACAGAGAAGTTGTATCCCACATTTCTGTCTATCTCATACTGAGGTCCAAGGCCTCATTATTCTCTTCTGTGAGTCTACAGACAACTAGACATCTCTCAGTCTACAAGAAGCTACTAGAACAAATTGAGCAGGGCAGACCAGTATCTCAACATAGAAAAGGCAGGCATTGAGTTAATGCCCTCAGCTGGAGGTCTGTGTCTGTTTTAAATTGACAAAGAGTGACTCTGAACCATGGATTGTCTTCATCTACTCAGCTCCCCACAGCCCAGATGGTGGGAATGACAGAGCTCTCTAGCTACACCAGTCCTGGGGGCACTTCGTCATAAAATAAATGGCTACCAAATAAATCCCCATGCCTGTGCCATAATTCCACAATAATGAAGAAAGGACAAAGTACTCTAATATCTTCACACCTGTGAAGCTCAGCAGTACATTTATCACTCCGTACATTGTGCCATTATAATGGTTGTGCAATTGATTCAGCTACAAAATATTTTGGCAATCTTCCA